GTTGTTTAGCAGTATCTTCCTTTGAAGAAAGTCTGAAGCAATAGAATTTTTTGTTTTCAAGCAGATAGTTATAGGTGAGCATGTCAATTCTTAAGGAAAGGGAGAAGCCTAAAAATGTCACAGATTATATCTACATTGCTGGCTCTTCTTTCTCCTTCTGATCCATAAATGTAGGCGCTCACTAAGACCTTGGTCGTCCGTTCTTTGTCTCGTGTGATGGTTTTCCAGAAACATTTCTTTTCTCAGTGTATCAAAAATTACCTTCTTGCTGTTGCCTAGTATATTTCAATGTTCAATCCTATCTTTCTTTTCTTTTTATATTTTTAATTATAAATATGTATATATAATTTTTTAATTATAAAAGTAACACATGGCCATGCTTTTTAAAAATAAAATATGGAGGGATGGGAAATGAAATGTAAAAGTCTCCTTCCCCACTCCTGTGGAATCTCTCTCATTCCTAGAGAGGATAGGTGGTGGGTGGGTGGCTGCGTATATTCCCTTTGCGGTTTGAGTATAAATGAGGTCATGTTGTACTTAATGTTTTACATCTTCTTTTTGTTTTTTTTCTTCACACTCAGCAATATACCTGAACATAAACCAGTTCACTTCTTCTTCCAGGCTTCCCTGTATTTGTCAGTAGCACCACATTCTGTATCCCTCACACCTGAAACCTAAAAGTCATCTTTATTATTCTGTTGGTCATTATCTTGTCTTTATTTTTTTCATGGTCATTACCAGCCTGGTAACCAACCTTGTTGTTAATTCCTGACCTCGGTAATTCCAGTTTTTTCTTTTTTGAGTCCATTCTCCGTATCATTGATAAATTAATTTTTCTTAAGGATAACTTTTATTATGTATTCTTTTGTTCAAACCTGTCCATCAATAGTCCACGGTCATGTATGTTCTTGAATTTAAATGCTTCCTACCTACTTATTTAGAAAAATATTTTTAAGATGTCACTGAGTAGTGATAACGTTCTAGTGAAATTGGTTTAATCACTCGTGGTGGTATACCAGATCGATGCATTACTTTTGTTAAAGCACTGTGACAGTGTCAAGCACCAAAGTAATGTTCCTATTCTTAGTTCAGAAATCTTCTTGGGAATAATTCCAGGTTAATTCAGTTGGAGGAAAAAGCTGCATAATGCACTGTCTGCAATGGTGGAAATTGAAAAACAGTCTACTTTCTAACAATAGGAAAATTATTAAGTGAAATAACTGAGCTTATACAGTTATATTAGAATGTTGTGTTTGTGGAGCTGACAAAATATGTAGCCAAAATGTTGGTTCAAGTGAAGAAAAAAGTTAATTAAAATGGTGTTTTCTACTATGATGACAACTGTAGGGGATTTGAAGACAACTGTAGGGGATTTGAAGATGTTTAAAATGAGCAGTTTTGTTGGGGAGATCAGACATGGCCACAGAAAAAATTAAGCTCTGATACTTGAGGTGTCAAAAAATAGCAAGTGTCTCCATATCAAGGTGCTTGACTGTCACTTTAATAAGGCAAGGCAAGGCTTAGCCATCAAAACAGACAAAAATTTCCCTTTATGTAATGATAACATAGATGAAACTGAATTGAAGATACTACATTTCATTTAGAAAATGGTCATTAAAAAAAAAAAGAAAGAAAATGGATGGTCATTAAAAAAAAAAAAAGAAAGAAAATGGTCATTAAAAGGTCTTTTTTTTTTGCTTGAATGTTTAGTGATTTTTAAATTTAGGTATTAAATGGATCATCAGTGAGATTGACAGATATTCACAGCGTTGTTCCCAACACCCAATGCATGATATAGAATGTTGCCCTTCCAGGAGAATCCACCGTTCTGATTTTTATCCCCATAGATTAGTTTTACCTGTTTTTGAACTTCAGATAAATGGAACCATGACGAATGTACTCTTTTTGCATCTAGATTCTTTTGCTTAATGTAATATTTTTTGAGATCCAGGTGTGTAGTTGAGCGCAGCAGTGGTTTCTCCCGCTTTTATTGCTGAGTAGTGTTCCATGGTGTGAGTATACTACCATTTATTATTCTCCTGTTGAAGAGACATTTGAGCTGTTTTCAGTTTTTAGTTAAGAATAAGACTGCAGTGAACATTTGTGGACAAGTTTTTTTGTGATTACATATTGTTTTACAATAGAGATAAATGAAATACAAAATCTGAATTCCTCTACCTGACCTTCAAGATGTGTTTTTATTTGCCAGCTTGCCTGCTTTATTTTTGTTTGGCTCTTTAGAGTTCTGTGATCACTGTGGCGTGTTCTGGTTCATTTTGCCTCTGTGGCTTTACTTGTGGTATTTCAGGGATGTATTTCTCGTCTTGCATACCCATTTGGTAATCTTACTTATTTTTCAGGATACAGCTGGTCTCCTTGTGATCTATGATACCTTCACCAGGTGTTATTATTCTCCCTTTCCCTGAATTGCAACTTTTTATCACACAGTTTGCATGACATGCAATTCAGAGTAATGTAATCATTTGTTTTATGTTCATTAGTCTCTCCCCCATCCAAATTAAAAGCTCTTTAAAGGACATGAACCATGTTTTATCTATTTTTATTCTCCACACAATCGAGTATAATGTTGAATAAATAATAGGCTCTTGGTAAATAATTCCTCATATGTATGTAATATTCCTCATATTCCTTATATAAAATGTTTACTTGTAATATTTGGTATTCTGATCCATGCTCTATAATATAGCCAGAGTATTCTCTAAAGAATTTACTAACAGACAAGATTTTAGAAGTCAGTGAGCTTCTGATATAGCAGTATAAGCTATGGGCTGAGTTGAGGAGACTGCTTTCCTAGTCTTATCTTTGTTTATAGCCGGCTCTGTGACCTTAGACACTCACTTAGCCTCTCTGAACCTCAGTTTCATGATCTGTGAAAAAGGGAAATCGGACTCAAATGGCAATTCTCAAACTTTCTGATCTCAGGATACTTTTACATTTTTTAAAACTTATTGGGGACCCCAAAGAGCTTTTGTTTATGTGGGTTAGAGTTATATTAATATTTACTGTATTAAAATTTAAAACCAAGAACTTGAAAAAATATTTATCAAAAAAAATAACAGTAGACCCATTACATGCTCGCATAAATGAAATATATTAAGAAAAATAATTTCAAATAATTATGGATATTCATCTTGGATACTACACCAAATCTTGACAAGTGGTAGTTTCCGGAAAGTTTAGTTGAGTGTGGAATTTGAAACCATATCCATTAACTTTTCATACCCTCTTTTATTAAAATCCATTGAACTATTTTATGCTGTGAATGGATCTTTCACCCATGCATGAACTTGTGAGCTTATGCCTTGATCATTTGGAAATACAGTGAAACCTGTGAGAGCTGGAACTCAATGGGACTGCCTTGTCTTTCTGGGTCTTGCAAAGGTTTCCACCTTTGATAGGGTGCAGTCTTACCACATTTCTATCGCTCATTTTAGTGGAAAATATTTGCGTTTTCCTTCTCTGACAGGTTTCCGCCTTACACAGGTTCTGACTTTTTTCAGGTTTTATTATACTAAAATTCCATTTAGAATTGCCCAATCTTTAAATTTTGACACATTTTGCTATACAGTATATACATTTAAAAAACTTACATTCATCTGTATCGCCACAATCTCATCAGAAAAATCCTTAAGAACTGGGAATCTGTCAAGTTCATAGTGGTGGATACAAGTTTTCCAAGATTCTAGTTTCTGCTTCAAAGCTCAAATGTTACCATTGCTGCAAGTACTGACCCTTGTTTTCCTTGAAGTAACAGGCTCACTTGGTTCATTTTTAAGAAAATGTCTGCCAGACATCCAAGTGTAAATAACTATAGTTTATCTGTCAGTTGTTCCTTCATGTAAAAATTATGTTCTGTGGGAAAAAAAGCAGCTAGTTGAGCCTGCAACTCAAATGCTTTTCTTCGTGAAAGCATGGTATTAGGTATACAACAAGAACATTCTTAAGTAAAACTAGCTTTTTTTTTAAGCTCTGAGTGTGTGGCTGTGAGGAATGCAATGACTGGTAGGTAGTACAATTTGGTGCAACTGCGTTGAGTTTTACCCACCAATCCTTTCATGGCATCAGTGCAAATGTAGTGAGAAAGACAGGTGATAACTTAATATTATCATAAAAGTAGTTTCGACCTTTGGATCCCCTGAAGGAGATCTCAGGGACCGCCAGGGCTTCATGGACCACACTTTGAGAACCTCAGAGGTAGTAGAACCTCTAAGCTAACTTTAAAATATTTAAAGGCTGGTGAGGGGTTATTACTAGGTTATGTGTGAAAGTATAATGGATTGTAACTATAATAATCCTACTTGAAATTATAGTATAACAGAAAACTTCTGACTTGTAGTTCTGCAGGTTAGTGAATCTAAATGAAGTAATGTAAATATTTCTTCTGTGATTAGATGAGATATTTACAAATTATATCTATTATGAAGTGTTTTGTATATATCAGTTTTTAAACGAGGCTTGCTACGTATAAATGTTTATAGCTCTGTGTGACCAATATTGTGTTTTTTTTACTCCCTTCCCCATCTCTTGTTTACTTGAAGAACCTCCAACATGTTCTCCTCAGCAGTTTACTTGTTTCACGGGGGAGATTGACTGTATCCCTGTGGCTTGGCGTTGTGATGGCTTTACTGAATGTGAAGACCACAGTGATGAGCTCAATTGTCCTGTATGCTCTGAGTCTCAGTTCCAGTGTGCCAGCGGGCAGTGTATTGATGGTGCCCTCCGATGCAATGGAGATGCAAACTGCCAGGATAAATCAGATGAGAAAAACTGTGAAGGTATCCGAAATTCCTCAGTGACTTGTTATGTGATCTTCTTTTCGTTAAGTTGTTTAAAATTCAGAGTGCTGCTTTGGCTCAGCGGTAGACTTGGCATTTTTCAAGCACATTTGGCTATATTGCACCTCAACATAGTAGCGTGTTCCAAATTGTTTTTTTAATTCACTTCACATGCATAAGATTTATACAGATTAATAATCTTTGAAAATTGAGAAGTGAGACCAAAAGATTAGGCCTTTAATATGTAAAAACCATTTGTATTTCCAGTTCATTCTGAATTAGTGGATTTATTTATTACAGTCTAAAATACTGGGTATTCTCCTTTCTTCTCCACAGTTAATAAACAATGACCCAACATGTTCTCAAAAACTCTTTAGGGTAATCAACAGAATTATTAGACAGAGGAAGTTTAACATAAAGAATAATATGGGAAATTTCCTGCTGGATGCCTTTTCTACCCTTTTTCTTTTCCTTCCACCGGTGGAAATTACCATTTTTAAGTTACATCTAAAAGTGTAATTTGTTTTTCATTTGTACTCAGAAAGTACCTTTTGACTATTGCCAGAGTTGGGCTTTACATGATAGTAAAATAAGAAAACTATTTGCATTTTTCCCCAGTGCTTTGTTTAATTGATCAGTTCCGTTGTGCCAATGGTCAGTGCATCGGAAAACACAAGAAATGTGATCATAATGTGGATTGCAGTGACAAATCAGATGAACTGGATTGTTGTAAGTGGGACTAAAGCCTTGTAAATTACTCTTAAAGGAGCTTTTAAAAAATACTTTTTTTCTTCTTCTTTTATATGTGTGATGTTCACTTATAATTAATATTTCCTTGTTAAGAAATATATCAAGACAGTTACCTGTGCTAGGGATTTTTTATGTCTTGTTTTTAATAATTCATTAAAGACAGCAGTTTTCTTATGCATAAAAATATTCACAGAAACATTTAGTAGAACACCAGAAGAGAAGAAGTATTGCTCTGCCACAACTGTAGTTAGGAAATTCTCAAACAATTTAGGTATGCAGAAATCAATCAGTGATCTAAACCTAGAGTTTCTTTACATTAGCCCATTTTTAACTGTCTCCCATTACTTCCTTGGCCTGTTTTCACTACTTACTCAATGGCTAGAAGACTTTAAGAGATTTCTTAAAATGCAGCCTGAGGATACTTGGGCCAGGCTGAGGGGCTGAAGATTTTCTAACAGCCTATAGTTTCTTCAAGGTTCATAACTATAGACCAACACCCTAACACATAATGTATCCCAAATTGATAAACTTAATTCTGAATAAAATTCAGCATAAGCCCAGGACTAACTGGTCAAAATTAGTTTGTTGGAATTTAGATAGGACTCATTTAAATACTCTCATCTGTAATCAAGACTTTTAAGATGATGTTTTTACAGAGTTCAAGTGGGATACTCAGACTGTGAAGGTCTATTAATTTGTTAAGCAAGCATTTACCGCTGTCTGCTAGACACACTGCTCGGTGCTGAGGATACATGGGACTTCTCAGAGCCCTCTATGGTTGAGAAAATAGTAAGAATAGGGATTTCAGAGCCAGGCAGAGCTGAATTTTAATCCTAGCCCCTCCCCTTACTAGCAAATTATTTGTTTTTGCTAAAACTTTCGTTATCTTTAAAATGAAGATAATAATACTTAGCCTGGTGGTTGTGAGAAGATTAAATTAAATTATCTAATGTATATAAAACATAGTCTGTCTCATAGTAGATGCTATTGATAATAGTGTGATAAGTGATGTAAAAACTGCTGTAATAGAGATAAAAGTAGTAGTACAAAGAAGTGAGTAGCCAAATATTTGGGAATGAAGATGGAATTGATCAAGGAAAGCTTTTTAGAGGAAATACTTAAGATTGGATATTCACTATGCAAAGAGGTGGAGATATTGCATCCTAGGCATAGGGAATATCCCATTCAAAAATAGAAAGGAGTAAAACAGACACCTTTGGGAAACTTCATGAAAATAACTCATTGCCATTGAGTCGATTCAGACTCACAGCAACCCTATAGTTGGGACTGCCAAAATATAGGCTATGTATGTAAGCAGTATCAGCAGTAGATAACATAGATACAAGTAGAATCATGGAGGACGTTGTTTTTCTTCTAAAGAACTTAGACTATATTCTGTACCAACAGAGTCGTTAAAAAAATTAAGTAAAGGACTAGCATGACCACATAAATGGGAAAGCTGTGAAGAGATGGGTTGGAGGTGATAAGATTACAGGTAGGAAAATCCGTTAGACTGGTTGCTTTCAAACTTTTTTGATAACATCGAAAGGAATACAAAGATGTTAGTGCATGCATAAAATAAAGAAAGTGTTATACAACAGTGTTTACCCATATTATGTATGAAACATTTTGATGTTCTCTGCTCTGTTTCATATTTGTAAAATACTGGTTGCAGCTTACTAAATTGTCTTCAACTCCACTAATGACTCGCAGCCTGCAGTTTAAAAATACCTGGGGGCTAATAGAGCGAAATGTTTATTGACTATGACAAATAGGGGAACTTTGACTTTTTGCCAGAGTAGTTTCAGTGTGATGCTAAGGGCAGAAGCTGGATTTCAGTGGGTTAAGGTGAGACCCTGAGATTAGAATTTGGATATTGTTGTTCTTGTGTGCTGTTGAATCAATTCCAACTCATTGAGACCCTGTGTGACAGAGTAGAACTGCCCATAGGGTTTCATAGGCTGAAATCTTAAAGGGAACAGATCACAAGGTCTTTTCTCCCACAGAGCAGTTGGGTTGGTTCTAGTCGTCAGCCTTTGGGTTGCAGTTAGCGGCCCAGAGCTTGACTACCAGAGTTCCTTCAAAGGCATTATACTGAGGGGGGTCGGAGTGGGGAATAGTCAGTCTCAGAAGGTTACATACTGGATGGTTGGGGATAGGGAACGGATCAGCGGTTGCTAGAGGTTAAAGGTGAGGGGAGGGTGTGATTATAAAGGGGTAGTAACCCATTGCCATGGAGTGGATTCTGATTCATAGTGACTTTATAGGACATAGTAGAACTGCCCCATAGGGTTTCCTAGGCTGAAATCTTTAAGGGAGCAAGTTGCCAGGTCTTTTTTCCTGCAGAGAGGCTGGTGGGTTCAAACCGCTGACCTTTCAGTTAGCAGCTGAGCGCTTAACCATTGTACCCATAAGGTATAAAAACCCATTGCCATTGAGTCGATTCCTACTCATAGCAACCCTATAGGACAGAGTAGAACTGCCCCAGAGGGTTTCCAGGGAGTGGCTCGTGGACTCGAACTGCCGACCTTTTGGTTAGCAGCCATAGCTCTTAACCACTGTGCCACCAGGGCTCCCCACCAAAGTAGAGTGAATGTAAGTTATTCTTGGCATTAGAAAGGCACTAGATGCCAAGGCACTAAATGAGAAAGATGGGTTGGTCGCTAGGGAGAATCTCTGACTAAATCCACAGATTAAATTTGTGACTGACAGCCCTTACGTTGTATGTAACTTAGTGATGGCATTTTTCTCTTATCTCTCTCATATAATCTGTCAGAGGTGAGTTTAGCTATGTGGATAGAGTTTTGAAGTAAAACAGGCAAAAGGAAGTTTTTTTTTTAAAGTAAGATAGGCAAAAGGAAGTTTTTTGTTTTTTTTTTTTAAAGAATCTGCAGTTGTGAGAGATAATTTGCTCAGAACGGAAGACTTCTTCTGACAGAAGAGTAATGCTCTAAATTTGATAAGCCTATTTATGCCTGCCCTCTACCTCTGATATTGATGCCCTCTGCTTCTAAAGTCTCAAGTAACTCAGACATCCAGTGAAAGTGGATGTGCTGGATCCTCCTCTAGTGCTTTGGCCTTTTTCTTTTTGAGTCCTTTGGTGCTCAGGCATCAGACCTTACATTCCTTGCCCTCAGACAGCCAGAATCAGCCTGAAGGCTGCAACATACTGGGCCTGAGAGCTAAGGCTCATCTTTAGCTTCTAATTTCCCTTCACCAAGCCTAAGTGCCTCTGTTCAAATCTGTAATCCAGCATATACTCAGAGCTGCTTTTGGCTTGTTTACCATTTCATATACAACATTTGATGACTTTCCTAGGTCCATACCTTTTGGCCCTAAAATTTCCCCTCAAATTCCAAAGTAACCTCCTTGATTTTTATGCTGTTATACAGGTTGAGGTAGGGTATGTATTTTATATATATGCGTGTGTATGTGCGTATGTACAAAATTTCTTAATCGTGTTTAAATCTATCATCTTTGTTTCTGTCAATTTATTTGTTTGTACTTCCCAATCTATTGTTTTATTTCTGCCTTCACTTAAGAGTAGTTCATTTTGATTCTTAATGATGACATATAATCCATATGTACATGGGGCATGATATATACGTCTTCAGAAAAAAGAAAAATGTTTATGAGCTATCCTCATGAGGTTTATAGCTTTATATTCTGGTAGCAAGCCTCCTTTCTGATTGCTGGTTTGAACCTGCAGTGGTTTCTCCATTACAGAACTGTATTCTCTATTTTAGATCCGACTGAGGAGCCAGCCCCACAGGCCACCAATACAGTTGGCTCAGTTATTGGAGTCATTGTCACCATTTTTGTGTCTGGAACCATATACTTTATTTGCCAGAGGATGCTGTGCCCACGTATGAAGGGAGATGGAGAAACCATGACTAATGACTATGTAGTTCATGGACCAGCTTCTGTGCCACTTGGTTATGTGCCACACCCAAGCTCTTTGTCAGGATCTCTTCCAGGTGAGTTAAGAATGAATCATTGAGAATTAATTCTTAGGTCCTGGCATGATTGCTAAGTTTCCATTATGGAAACAGGATACTACCTAGAGTCTAGTTCAAACTAGACTACTTTGAGTTCAAAAAATCATAAGAACAAATGTTCTTTATCACTTTTAGCGCCTTCACTTTATGCAAAATATATTAGGTGTGGTTTGCTAGAAATTGCCAAGGGATGTAAAGCAATAATATTAATAATCAGAATGTGGAAGAATATATGAAGTATGACTCTAGAAAAATTGGAAATCATCAAAAATGAAATGAAACACATAAAGGCTGATATCCTGGCATTAGTGAGCGGAAATGGATTGGTATTGGCCATTTTAAATCAGGCAATCATATGATCTTCTGTGCCGGGAATCACAAATTGAAGAGGAATGGCGTCTCATTCGTCTTCAAAAAGAACATCTCAAGATTTATCCTGAAGTACAACGCTGTCAGTGATAGGATAATATCTATACACCTACAAGGAAGACGAGTTAACACGACTATTATTCAAATTTACGTACCAACCACTAATGCCAAAGATGAGGAAATTGAAGACTTTTGCCAGCTTCTCCAGTCTGAAATTGATCAAACATGCACCCAAGGTGCATTGATGATTACTGGAGATTGGAATGTGAAAGTTGAACACAAAAAAGAAGGATAAGTAGTTGGAAAATATGGCTTTGGTGATAGAAATGATGCCAGAGATTGCATGATAGAATTTTGCAAGACCAACGACTTATTCATTATAAATACCCTTTTTTTTTAAACAACATAAATGGCGGCTGGACACATGGACCTCACCAGATGGGAGTGCTCAGGAATCACATTGACTACATCTGTGGAAAGAGATGACGGAAAAGCTCAATATCATCGGTCAGAACAAGGCCAGGGGCCGACTGTGGAACAGACCATCAATTGCTCAGATGCAAGTTCAAGTTGAAGCTGAAGAAAATTAAAGCAAGTCCATAAGAGCCAGAATACGACCTTGAGTATATCCCATCTGAATTTGGAGACCGTTTCTCAAGAATAGATTTGACTCACTGAACACTACTGACCAAGACCAGATGCGTTGTGGGATGACATCAGGGATGTCATACATGAAGAAAGCAAAAGATGATTAAAAAGACAGGAAAGAAAGAAGACAAAAATGAATATGAGAAGAGACTCGAAACTTCCTCTTGAACGTAGAGTAGCTAAAACCAATGGAAGAAATGATGAAGTAAAAGAACTGAAGAGAAGATTTCAAAGGGCAGCTCAAGAAGACAGAGTAAAGTATTATAATGAAATGTGCAAAGATCTGGGGTTAGAAAGCCAAAAGGGAAGAACATGCTTAACATTTATCAAGCTGAAAGAACTGAACAAAAAATTCAAGCCTCAAGTTGCAATTTTGAAGGATTCTATGGGCAAAATATTGAACAACGCAGGAAGCATCAAAAAAAAAGAAAATACACAGAGTCACTGTACCAAAAAGAATTGGTCGATGTTCAAACATTTCAGGAGGTAGCATATGATCAAGAATTGATGGTATTGAAGGAAGATGTCCAGGCTGCACTGAACCATTGGTGAAAAACGAGGCTCCAGGAATTGACAGAATACCAGTTGAGATGTCTCAGCAAATGGATGCAGCGCTGGAGGTGCTCATTCATTTGTGCCAAGAAATTTGGAAGACAGCTACCTGACAGACCAACTGGAAGAGAGCCATATTTGTGCCCATTCTGAAGAAAGGTGGTCCAACAGAATGTGGAAATTTTTGAACGATATCATTAATATCACACAAAAGTAAAATTTTGCCGAAGATGATTCAAAAATGGTTGTAGCAGTTTAGTGACAGGGAACTGCCAGAAATGCAAGCTGGATTCAGAAGAGGACGTGGAACAAGGGATATCATTGCTGATGTCAGATGAGTTGTGGTTGAAAGCAGAGAATACCAGAAAGATGTTTACCTGTGTTTTATTGACTATGCGGAGGCATTCGATTGTGCGGATCATAATAAATTATGCCTAACATTGCGAAGAATAGGAATTCCAGAACACTTAATTGTGCTCATATGGAACCTGTACTAGACCAAGAGGCAGTTGTTGAACAGAACAAGGGAGGGATACTGTGTGGTTTAAAATCAGGAAAGGTGTGCGCCAGTGTTATATTCTT